TTTCAAAGCATATAAATGTCCATGCCGGCTGTGGCTGTTTTATACTGTCTGGTTGGATTAATTTGCTCAAAGGTGACAGTAAGGACTTTTACAATGTTACAAAAAATGACTATTTTTAAATTAATGAACTTTATTGAAAGTTTTGAACTTTCTATTCATCAAAGAATCCTGAATTAAAAATAATCACAGTTTAGTTAAAAATATTAAGCTACACAACTGTTTTCAACATAGATAATAATAATAATAATAAATGTTTCTTAAGCACCAAATAAGCATATTATTATGATGGATCTGAAGGATCACATGACACTAAAGACTGAAGTAATAGTTGCTGAATTTTTTTTTTTTTTTTTTTTTTTTTTTGCCATTACAAGAATAAATTATATTTTATACATAACCTCTAAGGGACATGGTGGTGGAAAAAATATTAAATGGGAGAAAACATTTAGTTTTTCCTCTCATCTCCCATATTTTTTTCATCAACATGCTCCATAAATTTAAAATGCTCCGTAATTTTAAGATATATTAAAATAGAAAGGTTACTTTAAAATGTAATAATATTTCACAAAAACAAATTTGTTTTATAAAGTCACATAGACTGTAAATACAGTTGTTGAGCAATATTATCTCATTTCCAAGATTATTTGAAATGGATGGATAAGGTTATGAAATTTTCTAAGACCTAAATATTTTTCAGTAAATGATACATCTGAAACTGCTGATACAGAAATTGCACATGAAAGAGCTTGCTTCTCAACAGATGGAACAACAGAGGTATTGTATAATGAGGTATGAGGTAATAATGAAAGAATGGCATACTAATGTATGGGGTGCTAATTCAGAAAAAAACATAATGAGGCACACCATTCAAACATATAAGAAACATAGTCTCAGGACAGGAGAGACCGGCTATCAATGTCATAGAGATCACCACTCTATGATTCACATGTGTGCAGGAGACCTTATGATACATCTGTCGTGCACATGTGCTTGGTTTGTGCCGTGTGTGTGTGTGTGTGTGTGTGTGTGTGTGTGTGTGTGTGTGTGTGTGTGTGTGTGTGTGTGTGTGTGTGTGTGTGTGTGTGTGTGTGTGTGTGTGTGTGTGTGTGTGTGTGTGTGTGTGTGTGTGCGTGTGTGTGTGGGTGGAGCTCAGCATGCTGGAGGACATGAAGCTATAGGAGCTGCTGTGTGTGCAAAAGCCATCATGCAGCATTAACACAGCACTGCAACCACTCCATGAGGATTACTGGCTAAAATACATGGAGCATAGAACGAGGGAGAAAGACATATGATTTATTATAAATCAATAAATGGGTGCTGCTTTTTTGGGACATTACTTTACTTGACATCAGGGCCGGCTCTAGCCCTTTGGTTGCCCTAGGCGAGATTGAGTTTTGCGCCCCCCAAGTTTTAGTCTCTCCAAAACTTCAACAAGCAAATTATGACTTCAACTGTATAATAAATTGTTCATACAAATGCTACAAAGAACGTTCAATGATATTTCTATCATCCTACATAGTTGCATTGTACAAATACATTTTGTCTGACCATGTAACTTGTATTATATTACATTTACTACCACCACTACTATTATTACTAATCTATTAGGCTGCTACAAGGCTAAGGGGGTTTTGGGGGTATGCCCCCCGTAAGAAAATTTTGTGCATTTTAATGGCAAATTCATCAATCTGGTGCACTTTGAGAGTTCAAAATTAAAAGCTCCAACCCTTATTCAGTGTGCAAATTGAACAAAGACAAATTCAAACCTCTTTTAGTTACAGTGTCTGTCTACATTACACTACTACATAATAATAGTTATAATATTAATCCCATGTCAGTAATAGCCATAAGCTATTGTAAAACAAATGCACTGAAAAATAAAGGAAACTTTCATAATTAATTTTGTTACTTGGAAGTAACCCAGCGCCGCCAATTAAACAAAACAAAACGAATGGGCCGATGTACGAGTTTTATGGGCCACTAAGACAAAATAAATAAATAATAAAAGTATGATGTATCGGCCCAAAAAGCACGTGGAATCTCTACCATCCTGGGGGAAAAGAATTCGCTCCCGGTTAGTCCCGATGGCCATGCCTGTGCTGTGCACAATACTAAGTAAAAAAAAATCGTTTGACACCTAAATGGCTGAGATGAGAAGACTTACCTCTATACTGGGCTTTCTTTTTATCTTGTTGCTTTCTCCGTTTTCGTCCCTGTGCATCAGAGGGTTTCGATCAACGCGCCAGCAGCTGAGCACTTGCCTAACGTAACATAACGTAACCCCCCCCCCCGTTTGGAAACTAACGACAATAAACGTGTGGCTGAGGGGGCGCATGTTTAATAAACGTGTTTTTGTTTTTTTTGTTTCGCTTGTCATTCTAATTCTGTGATTAATGGGAAGTAGGCCAAGGGCGAGATTAGAGGGCGCCCGCGCGCCGCGACCCCAACACATTTGTCGCCCTAGGCAACCGCCTAGTTCGCCTATAGCAATCGCCGGCCCTGCTTGACATTACCTCCCCTACACCTACTCCAAATCCTGCCCATTAAACACTATATTCCCACTATTAAATACCTGTTAGGCACTTTATTACTACTTTTTGCATATTTTCGTAATTTTTATTTAAAATAAAGGCCTCTACGAGCTAATGTGCGATGGGAAAAGGGAGAAGAATGAATTCGGTCAAAGTTTATGCAACCCGCCTTACTCTCCATGCTACTCTGTCATCAGTGAGATATCATTTGTCATTTTGTCTGGCTCAATCAGACAATGGTGGGTGGAGTTAGTGTAAATAGCTTCTGCCAACAATGCGGGCTATTTGCATTGGTGTAAACTCCGCACACATAAATTATATACATTTAATAAGCTATTTTTGTATACATATAGTATATATTAAATAAAATCGACTTATTCCTTTTGAGTAATTGTGCAATGATGTCATCATTTTTTTTGTAAAGCATATGTCTAAAGCATACCTATGTATGAATTATATTTAAATTATAAAATTGTGTGTGTGTGTGTATATATACACTACCGTTCAAAAATTTGGGGTCGGTACGATTTTAAATACTTTTAAAAGAATTCTCTTCTGCTAACCATGGCTGCGCTTATTTGATTAAAAATACAACAAAAATCAGTTATAGTATTAAATATTATTCCAGTGTAAATCAGCTGTTTTCTGTGTGAATATATAGTAAAGTGGTGTAATTTATTCCTGTGATCAAAGCTGAATTTTCAGCATCACCAGTGTCAGTGTCTTCAGTGTCAAATGATCCTTCACAAATCAGTATAATATGAGCATTTGATGCTCAAGAAACATTTATTATTATTATCAATGTTGAAACAGTTGTTGGTCTGTCAGTTGTACAGTTTTTTTTTTTTTTTTTAGGATTCTTTGATGAATAGGAAGTTCAAAAGACTTTTGTAACATTATAAATGTCTTTACTGTCACTTTCGATCAAATTAATTATTCCTTGATAAATAAAAGTATTGATTTCTTTCCTCCAAAAAATAAAAATAAAATTCTCACTGACCCCAAACTTTTGAACGGTAGTGTATATATATATATATATTAAACAAAATCTACTTATTATATACTACTTAATGCACTCAACATGTTTCGAGGAAGTTTCATAAAGATGAAATGAGAGTACAGTGAAAATATACCATGATATAAAGATAAAATGCCCAGTCCAGTGAAGCACATACACCCAAAGCTCAAACTAACAATTTCTATTAGTTTAAGAGCATTTAAGCACAAAACAATTCTCTTTTGATCTAAGCTCTCCATATACCTTCTTAAGACTAGTTTTATCTCTTATCTTATCTCACGAGAATGTCAGATAAACCTATCCAGTCTCATATGTCCATCAAAAACCAGCCTATGCTGCAGAGCAAAAAAAAAAAAAAAACCAAGTACAATGAATCATTGCAACCAGATTTAAAAAAAATGGGTGGTGTAGAAGAAGATTGTCCTTATCAATAAAGTGTGTGTGAGCATTCACGTGTGTGGGCTGAGCTCATCCCGGGCAGGTTTAGCTAGGTTATGCAGCAGACAGCTGAGCAGTGTGCCGTCTAGGGAAGTGAATTATTTACTATATCTAAAGTCTGCTGAGAACAGCACTCCAGAGCCCAGGACACAGGGCGGAGTGTGTGTGAGGGGCTAATAGTATTACGTCCATGTATATGTGTGTTTGTGTGTCGTGAGTTTGGAGTGATAAGGGATTATGTATAGCTATTCTGTCCATATCACAAAACAAACCCCAACTGGGTCATCATGACACCGATGCACCAACTCACCAAGTAAATAAGACGACATGAAAAAATGTATTTATTTGTATGATCTTGCCAGTACATTAGATAAAAGCTTCCGCTAAAAAAAATCCTTTTCATTTTTACTACAGTTGATTACTGAGACACAAGATGGCACAAGTTCGAAAGAGTTTGAATCTGCTGTGTGAAAGTAGGTTTCAGTTCTAGGATGAGGTGATGTTGGCATGGATGATGGAGATCTGACAACAGCGATCGACCAATCAGATTTGAGAATTCCAGAAACCATGTAATAAATTTAATTTATTAGCAGTATCTTGAGTTCAGACACAATAAATGTTTAGCACAAGAAAACCAGACAAATAAGTTGTTCATGTCAGCACAGTTTTACGATTGGTTTGTTGCATGATTACAGTTTCTTGGCTAATATTATTATATCTGTGAATATGTGTGTAGCTTATCATATCTGGAAAGTTTGTCATTGATTGGAAGAGATAAACGCAGTAAATCACATGATCACTTTTGTACTCATGGGCAATAAAAGGAAAATAACTGTCAGCGTCTTGATTTCGGACACAATAAAAAAAATCTCAAAGGTAAAATATGTAACCCACTAATGCTACCTGAAAAACATACTATAATCACTCATTTGTAGTTATTTTTATCCAAGTTTAAGCTTCATCTTACAGTAATCACCACCACATAAGCTTAATCTTGAAGATTCATGCAATACCTCGCCTCCTCCAACAGGGGCCCTCACGGATGGTGTAGGAAAGCTCTGTAAACTCCAAGTCGACTGCTGAACGCCGAGGCAGGTGAGAAAACCTCTGTGCCTCAGTGATATGGTTCTCCACCTTCTTCAGGTGGGTCAGCATGGCAGCATCTTGAGGGGCTCCTCCCGCACGCTTAGTCTCCTCCATGGGAATGGAAACTGACCCCGGCTCTGAGGACTTCGCAGCCATACCAAGAGCCTGGGAAATGTGGGAGAATGCAATGATGAAAAAATAGTTATAATGTATAAATATGGAACATTTGCACTGACACATAATCGTAAAATCATACTACTTTCTGCAATCAAATCTACCTCAATGCAATCACCTCACACATAACACACACTTATGCAGAGGAGAATATGTCTTTGATGATTTGTGTGTAAATTCACACTCCTATTTGAGTCTATTGATACTATGTGAGGTTGGGCTGGAGGAAATAAAAGAGGAACAGAAAGGTAACAAAATCATTCTGTCTTTTAAAAAGAAACATAAATTAATCATGGTGGTCATCATTCTGAATAAAAATTCGCTCATTCCAACCACATTATGTTTTAATGAAGTGTTTTCGGTTAGGCCAGTTGAATGGCATTAGGGTGCTAACTATATTATCCTAAGGCCATCAAGAAAGATATTTTGAGCATAAATCTGACAGAGGAAGCATCTGCTCAGACATGAGGGTTATGCACTTGGAGACAGTCTCAGTCAGTAGAGCAATTACCCTCGAAGCCTATGGAATTTGATGCCAGCATCTGAAGCTTTGATGGAAACCTTTTTTCAGTTTTGCGTGGGCAGCTCTCAACGAACAAGCTGACAAGAATTGCAACTGACCACTGGGTCGAGCATCTCTCTCTATTTCAAATTAGTATTTCTGTAGCTTTATATAGTAATGACGAACTTCCCTGAACATAATCCGTTCTATTTTTATGAATATTTAGATAAACTGACATATTTTTTTATAGAATTCTCCTCTATTTATATTAAAAAAAGAAAGCTCTTACAGATTTAGTAGGATTCTCACGTTTTCCTGCTGGATATGGAAGGCTGAGGTTGTAATTCCAGAACTGTTATGAGGAGTAAGGATCTGATTACAGCCTGACAACAGTATAGTGCTGATTCATATGAACTTTCTGAATGACATATGAAATTCTACACACACACATGTTAGGATTTGCTATCTTCGTGGGGATATATTCGTCTCTCTATACAATTATTTTTATACTGTCCAAAACCGATATTCTATCTCCCTACACTAAACCCCCCAAAGAAAACTTTCTTAATTTTTACTTTTTCAAATAAGCATAATTTAGTAAGTTTATTAATTCATTTCCCTCGAAGGGACTGGGACAATTGGTCCCAACAATGTATTAGTCCACAGCATACAAGAATTGCATTACTCAGAATGCAGTACACAAGTGCCTTTCTGCAAGAATATCAGACTTTTAAATATAGTCATATCAGCATTTAATTAAAAATCACCACCAGATTCAATGACACTGACATTGTAAAACTGAGCTACAGAGGTACAAACAGTACTGACAGCAATGAGAACGTGGAATCCATATGAGTTATTGTATTTCACGTCAATATAGAATGCACTTAGGCTGCAGAAGCATCTAAACAGGTTCCGGGTGCTGTGCTTGATAAAACCCTGCCTCTCTAAAGAACCAATGTTTTCACTGTTGCCATCCAGTAAATTATACTGTTAAAGTGCTTGTCAATATGGTATCTTCCATTAAGAAGCGCTCAGTTTATTTTCCATCTTGTCTAAAGGCACAAGACAAGAGGCTGGAGAATCGAACACAACTACATTTCAAAACTGATCTAAGACTGCTCTGGAGCTTTACATGTATTGGACCCTCTGTACTGCCACTTGACACAGGTTTTCATTAAATAAAATCATTCCATCACTGCTGAGGCTGGATGAAATACATGCACCAACAGGGGAACAAAAAAACAAAAGACTCAGAGGGATTCAAAATCTGTAAATTCACCCAATCCATCTTCCTCACAGATAGACCTGCACTTGATCCTCTTCATAATGACGTGCTTCATCTTCAAAAGAGTGGTCCTGAACACTTTATTTAAAATATTTCCAATCAGCCTAATTTGGAATTCTGGTCTTTAGCCTACTGGTTTAAGATGGTCACACAGTCTGGCCAAACTGGTGTTAAGCAGGATTAACAGATTAATGCAAAACCAGATAACAGACTGACCAAGTGGTATAGGCATATATAGTAAGGCATAGCATAGGCCGAATGATTATGTCACTTATAGGACTCTATTGGCCACAACTTGACTCTCTTTTTCTGGTCAGGAGAAAGGCCATGTTTTTTAGCACCTCAGAATGGATCAGAATTTTGAACGTCTCTCTTATCTGACACACCCAATTTAGGTCTTGGAGTTTTTACTAATGAGCTGATGATATCAATGAGTTGTGTTAAATAAGGAAAACATCCCAAATGTGCAGTGTTGAGGATTGAGAACCAGTAGTGAAAACCCTGTCTGTCAGAGATAGGTCACTGTCTCCCTTCACTCACTAATGCTCCACTTCCCAACACAGATATAAGAGCACTCAATGAGCAATTATGAGGGAACAATATTCATAAATAAAGAAATGTCTAACACATTCATTACACGTGAACTCAACCTGGTGAACAGAGTCAGTGTTTAGAATAACATGATGCATCACATACCCAGTGCCAATGACATCACACGCATGCAAAACACAGGCTAGTGTGTTTATACAAGAGATCCTTGTATACAAGTGTCCACAGACTCAAAATGACATGATACCTACTTTTTTGATGCGTTGTGTTTCCTTATAAAAATGTCCAATTCATTCCTCTTAGTTCAAGAGAATAGTACACACAGGCTTCAGCAACAGGAGCGGCCCCGCACTATAGTCCAGCTGAGAGAAAAGATGCTCCGTTACACGCCCGATCCCGCTCACCGGTGACGGCGAGGATGCTCTTCTCCTTCAGAAAGCCGCTGTACGTCACATTCATATCGTTCCTTGAAAATATACCGAGACAATTCCCATCCAAAATAAACATAACAGTTATGAATAATTAAATATATGCAGCATCCTTGTTAAACCAGGAGTTTCATTTCGGACAGCTGACGGAAGGGCAAACATGACTCGATCATTGCGCATTTAGAGTCATCCAGAATGCGTATGGAGCTGTGGAGAGAGAAGTAGTGCTCGTTCTGCCTGGTCCTCCGGATGCTGCACCGCAGTATGATATAGCGCGCAGTGGACAGAGGAGCCCTGGCACGCCCGGTGTGTTAGCTACTGGGCGTAACTGCTCTCGTCCGAAATAAACCTGTGTTAGCCTACACACTGGAGGACGATTAAACTAGCAGTGATGGGCAATATTTGGTTACTTAGATTATGCTTTGCTTGTGTTTGCAGGTATTTCGAAAAAATCCCGCATTTTAAATTGTGTGGGTAAATTTATGGTCAAAATCTGGCAGCTGACTGGTTGCACTTGCCATAAAAATACAATGATGATGTTGCGTGCATTTTGGTGACAGCCTATATTTGTACCTGTATGAGGATATAATATTACAACAATATTAAAATATGTATCTAATTTAGGCCTAAAAAAAACTTCAAGTAGCCTACATGACTGACAACAAAAATAATAATAGAAAGCATAGCCTATTTCATAAATAAAACGTAGGCTAAGTGTAGTGGTTCGCGCAGGGAATTTTGGGAATGCCCATAAACAAAAAGATTCATATTGTTACTGATAGCCTATGTAACTATATTTTAGACTAGCTAATACGCATTAGGCTACACAGTTTTTACTCTTACTTTTACTATTTTTTAACCTTTAATACTGATTTAATATTGTACAATGCAATGAACTTAGCCTACCGTATGTAACTTTTACCCATTTTTAAAAATCAATTTTATAATTAAGTCTTACATTGGTTAAATTGCTGATATTTTGTAAAGTGGAATCTTTGGATAAAATATAAAATATTTAAAATATAAATACTTAAAATATAGCCTAGGCTATTTATATTCCAGTGCAGTGTGAATTTTTTTTTTTTTTTTTTGAGAACACAATTGTTCTCAATACAACCTGGCAGACGCACACGCCACTTCTTATTGGGTTGTTGTGGGGTAGCCTATAGTTTACATTACAAACCCCTCTGCGGGAAAGTGAGTGCAGGGCTGGCCTGGTGCCATACGGTCATGGGACATGTGGAGATCTCAGTTTTCCCATGATCCAAGAGGAAATTCAAGCAGGTGCAACTGCATCTCCATATGTCATAAGGCTATACATCATACGTTTTTTTCGTTGAATCAAATAGCCAACATTAGACTATTCGCTATTCACCAGCAACAGGGCTGTTTTATTTTATAGTGGGGCAGGAGGAAAACGTATGTCAAACCTATTTTTAGAACCACTTGCTTATGAGATTGCTTTGGGTGGGGGGAAGGTAAAAGAACGGGTGGGGTTGGAGATGATGTAGACGAAAAACTTAAACAAAGGGAAATTACAGCCGCCTATCCAGCAGCACGGGAGAATTGAGCGCGCGGTCTCTTTAAAGGCGGCACCTGCGCATCGACTGCTACTGGTGCTGATGCTGCAGTGCTCGGGTTATTCTCGGTGAAACCGTCGGGGTAACTCGCGTTCAAACGACGCCCTACATCATCCATGGCAAGAAGTGGTTGCTGTTACTTTTGATACGCTATCATATTCATTGTTTCTCTACGTTAGGCTAAGCTGATATTGGGGGTGGAAAGGGACATATAGCCTATAGCTTACCGGTTGCTCTGAAGAATCTTTTCAATTTTACTTTTGCTGAAAGGGAACATTATGTGCATGTAATTAAGAGACGGACGGATAGCACACACATTATAACATGATTCATAGTTTTTACTTCTAAAACATTTCTTACAATATTTTACAGTAAACAATAATAAACAATATAAATGAACAGTATTTTAGAGTTTATTGTCCTGTTTAAATCAAATATAATTCTCACATATGGTAAATTATAGATTCACTTTTCAATTTTTAAGCCTTTTTTCAAGATTAGATTACATCTCACAAGGTACTAGATGGCACCTGCACATCACTGGTGATAAAGCAACAATGGTCGGGTTATTTTGTTGTAGTTAATTATTAATGTTCATTGTTCATTAATGAAATGTAAACAAATATTTAAGAGGT